GCAGATCCCTCCTTTAAGCTCCCAGACAGGCTTCCAGGGCACTCAGACAGTGGGCAAACAGCCTCTCTGCCCGCTGCAGGCAGGACAATGAGATGCTGTGTCCCCAGAACATCGCTGGGCACTGGCATCCTCCTGCACCCCTCGGCATCCCCCTGGCACCCAACTCAAAAAGGCAGGATCCCCCTGCTAAAAAAAAATATGTGGGACACAGGCTTGAAATTTTTTATTCAGGGAAATATTTTTGCAAAAGAGCTGCTTTAGGTTTATTCTACAAGGGACACATTTTTCTGTGTTATTTTTTAATTTTCTCTCTCTCCTTCTTTCTTTTTTTTTTTTTAATAGTAAAATGGGCTGACATTTTCTCTCTCTCCTTCTTTCTTTTTTTTTTTATAGTAAAATGGGCTGATGGTTCTTTTAACTTTCAGTAATTTGTGGAAATTAAAAAAAAAAAAAAAGAAAATCATTTGCAACGCGACCCAGATTTAAATGGCACTCTGAAATGGATGTCGCCTGGCTTTGTTTTTTTTGCCTTTTTTTTTTTTTATGAACTCACTCCCAGAATAGTGAAAAATCTCTCAAATCTAGATCATGAAACTGCAATGTATTGTTTTCCAGATTTTTTTAATGTTCTTTACAAATAATTATTCTGTATCTGAAAGGAGATTAAAATAATCTTCGTTTTACACATAGCTCACAGATGCATATTTTACCATTGGAAAATAAAGTAAAATAGTATAAACCAGAGAGACTTAAAATATATAAATTAGTAAAAAGGTGGAATCAGCTCTTTCCTCAGGTTCATGTGTGTAAAAAGGCATTTTTATATCTTGCCTGAGCTAAGACTATTGCTGCCTGCTTTCAGAAGTGGTTTCTTCCCTTGAATTAAGTACCAAGGTAGTAAAGATACAGTATTTATAAGCCAAAAAATAAAGCAGGCACAATTTATTAAACAGCTACAATGTGACAATAAATAATTTTAATGTCAATCAAAATCGGATTATTGTCACTGAAATTTGGATTGAAAAGATAAAAGCCTGAAAGGAAGAATTGAAATCCAACACTGGAGACGATTCCAATATCTTTGTTCCTTGCAATAAATATTTTGGGTGAGAGTTTAAACCAGCTCATTCTTAATTTGGGGGAAAAAAGGTTGAGTGTGGTAGACTTTTAAGAAATATACTAAGAAAATATATTCGTGTTTGGGATTGGTGAGAAGAGATTTATTTCTTTTTTGTGAAAAATAAAACAATTTATTTTATTGTATTTTTTTAAAAACTGCTTGGGTTTAATTTTCTTTTCAGTGTCAGGCAGTGGTGGGAGAGGGATGCTTTTCTTGAGCCAGTGGATATTCTCCCTCTTTCCTCCTATTTTGGAAAACCCAAACTCAGCACCTCTTGAATTAAATTTGGGCACAGCCGCCCATGATTTGGGTCGGGCATTTTTTGGTGCAGCTGCACTCCAAAGGGCAGGGAGCCCTGCCTGCCGTGGGGTGCTCTGCTCCCACACAGCCCCAGCCCCAGCTCCCTGCTGGGCCTGGGGGGCAAGGGCCCCTCCCAAAACCCTCTCTGCAACATTCCCCTTGGCTCCCAGGGATATTCAGAGGAGTAGGATGTGCATCCAGGGTGAAAAAAGCCCTTTCTCAAGGTGGTAAAAACGGCAGTAATTGCCCTGGTGGGGAGCAGGGCGTGTGGCAGAGTGGAGGCCAAAACAGAGCTCTGGCAGACACATCCTCATCGCCTGTTTTTTAACCCCAAGATGAGGATGATGAGGATGGGGTGCAGGCAGGGCTTCTGGCCTCTGCTGGATTTCCCTGAGGAGCTGAGACCCTCTGGGCAGGAGAAGGGACCCTTCTGGATCCCCTTCCTGACAGCACTGCCCAGCTGCCCGCCCGCCTCCGGCTCTGCCTTGGCACCGCGTTCAAACCGTGCCTGAGCCGGCAAACATCAACTGGAGTGGCCGAGGCAGAAACACTCCCTGTGTCTCTAGGGCAACGTGCTTGTTCTGCATCCCAATAATGCCCAATCCCTCCTTGAGACAAAGCTCCCACTTGTTTTTCCAGGGATTTAGGTGCACGGTATAAATAAATGCACCTATTTATATATATTTAAAGGTGGGCATGTGCACACCAAATTAATATCCAGTATTGGTGTGAAGCCAGGGTGTCAGAACATGCACGGATGGAGGTGTGGGCTTGGAGTGGGATGTCTAAGTTTGTCCCCGGAGCGGCTGATGGATGGACAAGGAGGAACGGGTGGTTTTAATCAGCATGTGTGTGTGTGTGACAATAGTTGGGTGAGGAAGGGGACCTGACACCAGCATCCTTGATTTGTTATAAATCACACACATAAAAAATTGGGGGGGGGTGGAAATTAAATCTTGGGGATCACAGTGCTTTTAGTGCCAACTCAATCCCCAAGCTGGAACAAAGCTTTGCCAGCCCTGAAATAAATGATGCTTCACCTAATGGCTCTTATCCCTTCCCCACTGCCTCCGAGCAGGCAGCTTTGGGGTTTTAACGATGCCGACGTGATGAGAAGCAACGTCTGGGCCTGGTGCTGATTTTTAGCAGCAAAGGTAGCCCTGCCAGGTGGGGTGGAGGCCCTGGGGGACTCGTGGTGGGGAGGGGAGGCTCGTCCCCATGTCCCCAGGTCCCCGCTCGGCCGTGGCTTCGCTGATGCTCCGCAGCCGCCGGGCTCCTCTCTCTGCTCAATTGCACAGCGCGCAAATGGAATCGCTCTCCTCGCTGTGTTTGTGGCCATGGGAGTGGAAGAATTACATTGGGCTGAAAATAGTATTTACTTTTACTGATTGAAAAATAGATGTTAGGAAAAAAAAATAAAAAAAAAAAAGCAAAAGCAGGAATTGAAACTATAATTACAACAAACCATATGTAAACTCCCAGGTAAACACTGATTATACTGTGTCATTTCAGCCAGACTTTATTAGTGAGGGAAGAACAGAATCTTCTTTCTCTCTCCGCCCGCGGCGGATGCAGCACGCAGGATCCCACTGCCTGCCATTTGCAGAACACTTTTCACCCCAAAAATTCTCAGGTTCGTGGCCTGATCCTGCACAGCTCTCATCAGCTGCGTTTCCTAGGTGAGCCGTGCCATTCCCCTCGCGTGGCTGCACAGTGGGGCTCTCAGGGTGCTGCTGTGGGGGCAGGTCTGAGCTGCCCCTGGCATGTCCTCTTCACTGGGGAGAGGCAGGGAAGGGACTGGAGGTGCCAGGGGAGGAGAAACTCAAGGCGTGGGACCCAGCCTGATCACTCCTAGAGTGTGTTGATGGGATGGGATGGGATGGGATGGGATGGGATGGGATGGGATGGGATGGGATGGGATGGGATGGGATGGGATGTTCCCTCATCCCCTTTCTCTCAGGCAGTTCACAGACCCAGCTGCAGGAGGACAGGGCTGGCCAGATCCATCCTTGGAGAAAAGCTGGAGGAGATGAGTGGCTGTAGCCTTGCCAGGCCCTTTGCTTGCTCCCTAGCAATGGAGCCAGACCCCCTTTTTGGGGGAGCTGTATCCCCAGAGCCCAACACCCCAAATGCAGGAGAGGAGCATGGTTGGAGTGTTGTTCCTGGACATCTGTGTTACACAGCATCCCCCGCACTCACTGCCACGGCACAAGGTCCCACAAAACCCCCAAAATCTCTCCTCCCTGCCAGGTCTGGTGGAGACAGAGCAATGCCATCACGACATGTCAGTGTCCACCGTGTCACTCTCAGGACACCTCAGAGCAGCTGCAGCATCCCCTCCTCTGCCCTGCAGTGCCAGGGTCACCCGGCAGCACCGTCCCCTTCGGATGAATATTTGGGCAGCTCTTGCCGCGGTTTCCTTGCGGGGTGGATGAGATGGGAACGGAGGGGAAGAAGGAAACCACGAGTAGCGTGAGGAGCGCCAGGTATCCTTACACAACTGGGCTGAGGGCTCGGCCGCCTTACAGCTTTGCCATAGTGGCACCCTGTGGCAAAACGCATTACTACAGCTGGCAGCGACTCCGGAGGGGGACCCGGCCCGGGGGGCCCTGCCCTGGGGCCCCCAGCCCGCGGGGACACTGCCACGCAGGGATGGGATGCCGGGGGCCGAACAGCCCGTGGTGCCCTCCGCGGTGACACCGCAGCCCCCCGAGGCGGGTCCCACCCATCCCCGCGGGGTCAGCCAGGATGCTCATGCAGCCCAGACATCCCCCGGGATGGGGCAGGGACCCCGGCAGGCTCGCTGGCCATCGCACGCCGCTCGCTTGGCATTTCTGGCAGCATCCGAGCGGCCGGGCGGCGCGGCGATGGGAGCGGGGGGTGTGTGTGCGCTGGGTTTCTCCTCCCGGAGCAGACCCGGAGTGACGGAGCGAGCTCTTTGTCTGCCTTCGCCTGCCTGTCACGGCTCCCGGCGTTTCCCAGCCACCTTGCACGGCGCGCAGCCACTTTGGCAGGAGCTGTCTCGGAATTTTAATGCGGCTGATTAACGCGCCGCGGTGTAAGCGTGGAGCCAGCCGTACCCCTTCCCCAGCCTCGCCTTTTGGGGGAATAAATAACCAAACCCAGCCAGGCACCCCCGCCCACGGTGCCTCATCCTGTTCTGAACTGAGCTGGAGAATGGGACCGAACTGGAGGCAGGAGGTGATCCCAAAGGAAGAGATGCTGATGTCTGTCCTGTGTCAGCCCGGAAAGCTGAGGGGTGTAGCAGAGATGCCTCTGCCATCCTGGCACACCGATGACAGAGGTGGTTTTGGGGCACAGGGATGTGTCAGGGGTTGTGGCACTGCATGACACCACAAGGAGTTTTGGGAAGTGTCACCTCTCCCTCTGGGAACAAGGGTGAGCAGTGGAAAACTCCAGGCAGAAGGGGAAGGTGAAGGGGGAGAGGGTGGAGAGGAAGTCTGCGTGTGGAGCAGGGAGAAGATGGCTGAGCAGAGCTCTGTGCCACCCAGGAGATGACGAGGGGGAGTTATTGACACAGAGGACACATTGCTAAATTTTCAATCTGGTCCTTTCTTAGGTGGTGTTGACAGAAGAAGATGGGTAGGAGATTTCAATGGCAGGCACACGTGTCCCAGGAGAGGGTGAGACACCAACAGAGATGGAGCAAGAAATGAGCCTTGGACAGCTGCAGGAGAGAAACCCAAACCTTCTTTGGAAAGCAGGGTCACCTGCAAGCTGGGGGCACCTTATGAAACACCCATCCCTCCAGACATCTGGGAGCATCAAGCAGCCATCGGGAGCTGGCACGGGTCCCATCAGCACTGGGGAAGGTGCAGAGCAGAGAAATGAGGGAGGGAGGTGCTGCTCAGGACCCACCACGCCGCTGGGATGTGCCCACGGATAGAAGGGGAAATGTGGAAGGGACAACAGGGAGCCAAGAGAACACAACAGCACCTAAAGGAAAGGGTGAAGACTGAACGTGTGAAACAAAGGTGGTTTGGGCTCAGATGGGAGAGAAGATCCATACCTGGAGCATCTCCTTCAGTGGAAGATGATTTCAGAGGAGTTGGAATGTTTGACTGGCTCAGGATTTGCCTGGGAGAGGTTAGGCTGGTGTTTCTAGCGTGACTGCAACCAAGCCAGCTCTGCTGGGGCTGGCTGCAGGGTTTATTCATGGTGGGGAAGGAAGGGACCAGCTGACTTTTAGATGCCCAAAAGCATAAAGAGAGGGTTTCATGATCATGGACAATGACCATACTACTTCACCTCAGGGCTTTTCAGATGTCAGCCATGTCCCAAAAAATTACATGATGAAGAAAGGGGGAATAAACCCCAGTGCAAGCAAGGCAGCACAATCTCCTCCCCTGTCTTAGGGCTGCCCTTACTAGAGGCTCAACTGATCCTAGTTTTGGGACCTGAGAGGTGAACTCCCGATGCAGAGCAAACATCCCTTTATGGGGGTCTCTCTTTTCACCCTTAGAACAGAGAGCCTCCCATTTCCACAGCTGCTGGGTGCAGCCTCCTGGTCCCACCATCACAACCTTTTGTCCCAAGCAAGAGCTTCCTTGGGGAAGGCCATTTCATGGCCATGCACCTCCCCTGGTTGTCTTTGGGTCTGTGTCCCCTCTCCAGCACCCCTTTACCCTATTAATATCCTTTGACTGTCCTCACACCTGCAGACAATCTGGTCCCCAACCACCTCCACCTCCCCCCTTCCTCAAAAGCTTCCCTCAGCTGTCTTTAAGTCGTAGCTGAAATCTGTGGTATGTAGGAGGAGAAATTCAGTCTGACAGCAGTTTAAAACACCGCACTACTTGGCAGATTTAAATGCTATTTTAAATATAAGCTATGACACAACGGACAAAAATAGCATTGAAAATACCCTGTCATGTTCCATATTGCGAGGAATAGGGAAGCAGACCAGGCTAGAAAGGAGCAGAGAGAGGGGCCAGATGGAGAGGAGAGGTTATTTTGTTTGTTTTAAAGAAACTGGATAAATGTATTTTGTATGTGACTGAGTAAATGTGTTTTATAGAGCAATGAGCCAAAAAAAAAAAAATAAACCTTCTTATGAAAAATCTACATATTTTATTTGATGTGGGATCTGCCAAAGCAGGTTTGCTGCTGAGAGGATATGTTTGTTATCAGGTTGTTTTGGAGATGCTCAACACCAGCAGCCACCAGCTACTGAAGGCCACTTGGTCTCTGCTAAGTCTTTTTCTTCCCTTTATTTATCTATGTTTTAATAGGAATTTGCTCTTCTGAAAAAAAAAAAAAAAAAAAAGAAAAAAAAAAAGCCATCCCAATACCTAGAAGTGACTTTTCACCTGTGACTCCCAGCTTGGTGACCCTGCACTGTAGGAGCTGATGGATTGCACTGCTGGGAGTGCAGGGTTAGCGCTGTGACCAGGAGGGAGGGAGGGCTGCAGGCTGAGCCACCACTGACTGCCCAAGGTGTGTGGGTGTGTGCCTGGGAAATCCTGGGAGCTGCAGGACCTGACCCTGCTGCATGGCTGCTTTCTGGCACGGGTAGGAAGCATCTGGAGCATCTGAAACTGCAGGGCTGCAAGGAGAGGTTTCGTCATCATTTTTCCTGAATACAAGCACTGCTCCAAGCTGCTCTCTCATCACAGCATCTTCTCCTCCACCCCTCCACACACACTGCCTTACAGGGCAGGACAAACATCTGGCCACGCTTTGGGTTTGTCTCATGGGGCTGGGTTTTGGCTCCTTCCAATCCCCCAGTATAACCAGCAGTAAATCTGGTTATGAGAATGACCTGAGAAGGGTCCAAGAGACTGGGGAGAGGTCAGAATGTGAGCAAGTCTCGGGCTGCAGCACCATGTGACACCCTGGAAAGCCTGGAGACAAGGGTTAGTGTTCCACACTAGGCTGTCCCTACCTGGGGACAGGCACAGGGCTGGCACCCATGGCACGGAGGTGCCAGATGCCAGCTGTACCCCCAAAATGGGGTAGAATGTGAGTACTCCCAGTACAGCATCTGAGCAGCTCTGCCTCTTGACTGCCTGACTGCAATAGCAATTGTCCCTCTTGCGCTGGGGTAAGGATTTGATCCTGACAACACCTAACAGCACAAGTTACCAGGGTGGCTGAGCTGCCAGTGCTCTGATGAACACCCTGGCAGGAATTCAGGGGCTCCCCAAGCCTCCTGCATCCACTGCTAATCCAGCTGCAGCAGCTGAAACCAGGGGCAGACACAGAGTGAAACATTTTTGCTATCATCTTAAAAAGGTCTTTTTTATTTTAAACCCAACATGTTATTATAATGGAAACACACAATTTGAAGAGCTTAACAAAACAGTTCAATGAAGCCAGGTTAGCATTAGAAATCAAAGACTGAGATCTTTCAACCCCTTGTAAATCACCACGGCCTGGGAAAATGTGCCCCCAGGCAGATTTCTCTGACCATCCAGTGGAGGATGCAAAAAAAAGCAAAATCTTTTTATTAGGAGAGAGAACAGCCCTGAATCTGTGCTCTCTTCTCACCCGCTCACCTCTGGGTGCCCTCTCCCAGCCAAGGGCTCATGGCTCCTCCTGACCCTCTGGCTGTGCCCACCCTTGGGGCTCCTGTGGACAGCAGCTCTGTGGGCACTCTGGAGGGAAGGGAGACCTCAGGCACTGCTCACATCAGGAGCAGCATCGCTGCTCACTGTGCCAGAAAGTCTGTGACCTTTTCTGGCTCTACACTGAGGCAACTGGCAGAGCAGGGCACCCACAGCTCCACATCTTAATAAAGATTTGGAAGACTCCCAGCTGCCCTGTCTGCTGCAGGGCAGAGTCAACAGGCAGCAGTTCCAGCATGGAGTCTGGCTCCCCACGTGTGCCAAGTGGGATGGACTCAGCTCTCAGCCTTGTGCACCTTGCAGAGTGGGCTGAGTACCCTCCCCAACACCTCCCTGCACATACAGAAACCCAGAACTAGAGGGAAACAAGAGGAACCCTGGTGAGAGGTGAAGGAAAACTCCTGGTAGGGCCAACAGAGGCTTTGCTGGGCTAAGTAGCATCACTGCTGCCAGAGCCAGCGCTGGGAACTCCACTCACCAGGAGATTTTCATGCCCCACTCAGAAAAGCAGAACCATCGCTCTGTAAAAGCAGCTCTGTTGTGCTTCTTTTTTTATTTCAGATGAAAATAAAAACATTTCAGTGTCTTTTGATCTGCCTCACTTCCTTACTGACACATTCAGGATGCTCACAAGCATTTTGGTGTGGTGGGTCCCCATACCTCAGCAAGGTCCCAAGATTCCCTGGGGAATTGCATCCATGCAAGTACAGCCAGCAGCAGAAAAGCAAAACAAGGATGGGATGTGTCCCCAGCCCCCCTGCTTTTTCCCTGGCTGTCACCCCTGCTGCAGTACAAGCCTCAGGGTGCAGAGTTACTGATGCTCAGGTACTGCAGGCCCAGCTCTGGGGGTACGCCGGGCTCCTGCCCACCTGCAGCAGGTATTGCAGGGCCAAAGCTGCTCGCTGGAGTGGTGGCATTGCAGTCCTGCCTCCTCTTGCCGCCCTGCCCAGCTGCGACAGCAGCTCAGCTCCCTCCCTTGCTCTTTGTTAACCACTGAATTCATCTGACAACTCAAAGAGAGAGAGAGAGGGGAGAGACCCTGCGGCCCGCCGGCGCGGTTCCCCGGCTCCCCCTCTGCCCTCATTTGCAATGCTTGAGTGGGGATTTCTCTATTTACTAAGCTAACAATGTGGGTTCCCAGGGCCTGGGCTGATGATGACATCCCGGCGCTGGTGGGTGGTGGGGCCGGGGGGGCGGTGAGGGCTGGGGGGGATTGCATAATGCCGAGGCAGGCGTGGGAAACCACAGCATCTGCGAGAAAAGTCTCTGCCAGCCGCTTTGAGCGTGGCTCAAAGGGCTCCGGGGGAAGCCACGGGGCACAGGGAGCCCTGGGGACCCGCTGGCAAGGGGAGATGCTCAAACCCACGTCTCACGAGCACGGCCCTGCTGGCACGTCCCCGCAGAGCGACAAACGGCCCCGCTGCCACCGCCTCCGTCCCCGGAAGGGTTAACGCGGGCTGCCACGGGTCTGCTCATTACAGGGTTAAGGGGGAGATGGCACTTGCAAATCCCTCAATTACCCGGGCCAGAAGGCTGCTCAGGAAGAGCTTTATTAACGGTTGCCGTCTTCATTAACCGCTTCTCCACAGCTGCCTAATTACGGCCGCCATTAGGCTCGCTGGGTCTCCCCACCACCGCCCTGATCCCCGGCCCCCTGATTAACCTTAATTACACCTCCATGCTCGGAACCGGGCGCTCACCTGAGCGGGGCCGCGGCCAGGGGCTCCGGGCTCTCTAATTGCGGGCAGCCCCGGCGGGGCGGCGCGGGGAGGGGGCCGGGAGCGGGGCCGGGGCCGGGCGCCCGCCGCACGCCAGATGTTCGCTGCTGAAAAGGCGAGGGCTGCCCTCGCACTGAGCTAAGCGGTGGCAATGAGATCGCTAGCAGGGCATTGAGGGAGGCGGTGAAAGGGTTTCCCACCTGAGCCGATGGGGCTCTGCTGGGAGGAGGACGGGGCCTGGCGGCGAGGGAAGGCAGAGGGTGAGGGTTGGGAGATGCTGTGGGTGATGCTGCTTGTCAGCCCCAGAGCTCATCCCCGCCAGGCATCCTTGGAACGAGGTGGTTGGAACTAGATGATCTTTAAGGTCTCGTCCAACCCAAACCTTTCTACGACGATCCCTCCGGGTTTCTCCCCAGCCTTGCTCCTTCCTGGTTAGGCTAAGGGATGTCCCCGGGGCTGGATGCAGCACACGTGGGTATCAGTGCCCGGATGCGGCTCTACGGTGCACGCCCAAGCTCAGCGTTTCAGGCAAGGCCACAGATGCTACGGAGGGTGGCAGAGATCCTGCTGCCCTCCAGCTCTGCTGTCCCCAGGATGCCACCACTGCTCCAGGACAGCCCCAGTCTGGTGTGCCACCCGAGCCTCCTTTCACAAAGAAGATGCTGCTGTTTTTTCTCTCTCCATCACTGAACAGGGTGCAGCTCAGCTCCTCAGGCACAGGGAAAATGGAGCCGCTTTCTCCCTCTCCCTCGAGATGCCCCTACCACCTTCTTCCCCCTCCTCACCAGACACCTCCCTTTTGGGGGAAAAAAAAAAAAAAGATAATAAAGTTCTTATTTCCACCACATTTGCCATTTCCTGGTCTAAGTAAAGAGTGTCATAAGAGTGACAAGCTAAAAGCCACTGATTACTGTGGATTCATGGCATTTATTCTCCTCGTGAAAAGAGCAAACATCAGAAATAATGTGGTCCGGCCTGCCTCGGAGCCTAACCCTGCAATTAATCAGCATTCATGTGCAGAAGGTGCACGAGCATCTGATATGTAGAGAGGGAGTAATTAAAGGCAGATGCAATCTCTGCTTCCCGCAGGCCTGGGGGAGGTAACCACGCTCCCCCCCATTGGGGTGCAGCCCCCAAAAATCACCGCAGCTCCCCCTTTCCCCCGGGACAGCCGCTCCCGCTGCCCCGCTCGCCTCGGCCGGGGCCTGGAAGCGGCTCCGCTCCCCGGGGCGAAAGGGCCGGGGCTCCGCAGCGCTCGGCTGCCGGCAGAGCGAGCAGGAGGGCTGGGGATGCGCTATTTAGGCGAGCTTCCGATGCCTTGAACCCTGACATGGCTCGGTGACACGGCGAGGTCCCCGGAGAGGGGGATTGCTGCGGGTCGGAGCTTGCCCGGGACTATCACTGGCCTCCTCCCGCCGGGGTCTGCCCCGCTGATCCTGTCGAGACCTTTAATCCGTGGGGGATCAGCAAATTAATCCACTAAAGCATGAAGGGCCTGAGCTGTGTTTAATCGCTCCCTTTTGTGTCAGGGGACGGCTAAATGACCATACAAGAGAAAAACCCACAGAGGGGTCAGAGGGGAGGCGGTGGGCGATTAACCCCCGTCACCTCCCTCCAGGCTGCGGCGCGGGGTGAGACGGGGCCGAGCCCGCAGCCGCCGGTGCCGGCACCAGTTGAGCTGGTGTCCCCTTGTGCCCCCACAGCCCGTGTCACCCATCGGGGGTGGCACCGCGGCCCACGGCCCCCCCAGCACGACCGGAGCTGCCCCGAGCCGCG